AGATTAAATAGTTAATTATTTACAAACAGCTTTCTTCGCCGTATTTTCTCCGAGTACTCAGACAACTATTTCTGTCATACAAAAATTTATTAAATTTTCTGCAGTGGTGGGTGCAATTCAACATGCAGTAACTTAACCTTTTGCTTACAGCCCTTATCATGATAAAGCCAATCTGGTCCACTTATTGTTCCAGCCATAAGCAGGAAAAATGTTCATGTACCGCTTTTATTATAGGTTTTCTCGTATCGGTGTTAGGCATATCGCAAACAAGCCCTAACTATCAGAATCCGTGAGTTTTTTGTGCGAAATTCTTAAGATTTTGCAGAATACTTTTTGAGAATAGCTGGGCTCTTCTTAGGGAAATTTCCTTTCGTAAGAACTGTTTTTGACGTGCATCGTAAGTTTAGAGAAATGTTTTTCGATATAAATATATGATATAAGTTAAACTTGAGTATTATTTTAATTTAAATTTTATTTTTAGCAGCTCATATCAAGCGATTGGTTCAAATAAAACGTTATTATTTATTTAAATTCCTTTCAAATGCAGTTTTTTTGCAATCTTCATAAGAAAAGCGATAAGTTTAATTAATCATAAATTAACTGATTTACATTTATCAATTATTTTTATAAAATAATTGTTATATAAATAATTGCAATAATTGCATATAATAAAAAAATGGTAAATCTATTAATTTGCCATAATACTTTTGTCAGAATTGTTTTTTTAAAACGTCAGAATACTTTTGTTGTTTTCTTGAAATCCGGCATAAATTCAGATTTTAAAGAAAGTTTTACGCATTTTTTTCCCTTGAAAATTAAAAAAACTTTTAAAGATAAGATTTGTTTTATTATGTTCACTTAATTTAACAACATCTAATATAATAAATAATAAATTTAATTAATAATTAATAATAATAAATTTTCTTCAGTATATTTTTCATAAATTTTACTTTTTTAACTCTGAATATATTGAAGGTTTTACAGAAGAACCCTCCCCTCCAACAAACAGTAGTGAACGTATTAATTGAACCAAGGGTAAAGTTTTGCATGCTTTAACATAATTAAGATTTCCGATTTAATTTGGTTTTCATACTATGGACCACTCGTTTTTAATGAAACAAGCATTGGTAGCGACTGATCATTAATAGTAACATAAAATCTTGTTATGAACTTAATTTTTGCACAGTTTTTTAACTGCTGAATTTGAATATGTTGTCTAGTTTGAAATTGTCTGATAAGTTTCCACGTTGCTGTCCTCTCTCGAGAAAAAAAAAGTTAGTTTTAGCTAATCTCAAAAATAACAATGTTTGGTTAAGTCATTCTTATTATAATGGAAAGGCTACTGTATCTTGTGCTCAAGAAGGTGCCGATTTAAAACTCTACGGTTGATATAATTCTTTTGTAAGACTATTTTCTTATAATTTTAAATTATTCTCTGGATTTTGCTGTACTCTTTTTTCTCTTTTTTATTTCGTTGAAATGCATTAAACTCATATTTTCTCCATGTTTTTCTATGTCGGACAGCGCAGTTTTGATTGACAAAATTATTTACGCTTGTTTTCAACGTCGCACTACTAGGCTGTAGGCAATGATTTGAGATTCATTCTTAATAAAGATCCGAAGACATTGCTGATAGATGCAGGGTTCTCACATCGCAATTTTCCCAATTTAGATGGGAGAAGGGGATGGTAGAACAATCAACCTGGCTTCGCGCCGGACTTCACAACCACCCAATCGTGGATGGACGTGGGAAACAAAAACCACGGACAAAAAGATGGTGTTTTGCCACCAAATGCTTTGAAACGTAGAGGTAGTGGGTTCAAATACTGTCTCTACCCTGTATGTATTGTTGTGCTGCCCTACCCTAATTTTTTATATGTGTTTTTCAATTTGAAGATGCCCCGGAGTGGACAGATCATTAAGACACCGTTCACAGCAGATCATCGAAGTCAAGCATCACTGCCAGCGATTAGTGTGTTGGTGGGTGACCACATGGTTGTTGTTGTTGTTAATTTGCGTCACACTAGAGCTGCACAATGGGCTATTGGCGACGGTCTGGGAAACATCCCGGAGGATGATCCGAAGACATGCCATCACAATCTTGATCCTCTGCAGAGGGGATGGCACCCCCGCTTCGGTAGCCCGACGACCTGCGCGCGAAGTCGAGCACTTTACGGTAGCACAGTTTAACGAGGACCAATACCGCACACCCTCGGTCCCTACGCAGACTGATCCAAGTAGTCACCCACCCGCACATTGACCGTAGCCAGTGATGCTTGACTTCGGTGATCTGCTGGTAACCGTGTCTTAACGATCAGTTCACTGCGGGACGGGTGACCACATGGATCAGTCTGTGTAGGGACCAAGGGTGTGCTGCATTGCTTCTCGTTAAACTGTTCTACCGTAAAGTACTTGACTTCGCATGCAGATTATTGGGCTACCGAAGTGGGGGTGCCCTCCCCTTTGCAGAGGATAAAAATTGTGACGGCATGTCTTCGGATCATCCTCAGGGATGTTTCCCAGATCGTCGCCAATAGCCCATTGTGTAGCTCTAATGCGACGTAAATGAACTACAACTACAACAATTTGAAGAGAGTTTATAAGCAGTTGTTTGCATTGAGCACATAAACTGCATTTGTATGTCAATAAATGAATAATTAAAACAACCGGGATCAGAAAATCTCTAAAATCACTTATTAGATAATCTTTCTTTCATAGAATGTTTTGGGATCCAATACTGGTCCTTACGTTTCAATAGTGGAGGTTTCTACAGTGATTTCGTCGCTAGAACCAACAACCTAGTATTTCTGACCTTTTATATTTCCAGTTCTCAAGGGAAGAAACGCGTGTTATTTGGTTTTAGTTCTGGAGTTAAATTCTTATAACCACTAATCACTAACTCCAAGTTACAAACTATGACCTTAGTTCGGAAATTCATAATCTCAGACTTTGAAAATGAATCTGCTCCTACTTCATTAAATTCTTATATGTAATCATCTCGTAAGCGTTGTTCTTAAATTATTTGCGACGCAAATTATTTACCATCGCTGACAATGTCCTGAATCTGAGTAGTTCTATTATTATATGTCCCGCAGTGGACTGATCGTTAAAACACGGTTCCCAGCAGATCACCGAAGTCAAGCATCACTGGCTACGGTCAGTGTGCGGGTGGGTGACCACTTGGATCAGTCTGCGTAGGGACCGAGGGTGTGCGGTATTGGTCCTCGTTAAACTGTGCTACCGTAAAGTGCTCGACTTCGCGCGCAGGTCCTCGGGCTACCGAAGCGGGGGTGCCATCCCTTCCGCAGAGGATCAAAATTGTGATGGCATGTCTTCGGATCATCCTCCGGGATGTTTCCCAGACCGTCGCCAATAGCCCATTGTGCAGCTCTAGTGCGACGTAAAGTAACAACAACAGCAACAACTATTATTATATTATCTCTTTATAAATTTCATACAATGCTACCCGGTTGATGTGGTGAGATAAGTCTAAGCTCAGCATGGCTTGGCCTGGAAGGTTCGAATCCCTGATCAGACTACTGCACTTTCTCTGATCAGGTCTTATTCGTTCGGAATCTACTCTAATGCTATATTCACCATAGTATAAAAGCCGGAAAAGTACCAACACGGTTGCGCGGTTAGGAAGGGTGGAGAATAGGGAGAATGGATGATTACTATCATCACATTGTCTTCGGATCACCATTAGGATTGATCCCAGACCCTTTTCAATATCCCATTGGTGTAGCTTTAGTACAACGTTAACAGCCAAACCATTTCATGCATAAATTTGAAGGTGTGTTGGTAAGTAGGTACTTTATTTACGTTGCACTAAAAATGCACAATAGGCTATTGGCGTCAGTCTGGGAAACATCCCTGAGGATGATCCGAAGACATGCCATCACAATTTTGATTCTTTACAGAAATGATGATTCCCCTGCTTTGGTAGCCAGACGAGACCTGCGCGTGAAGTCGCTCACTTTACGATAGAACAGTTTAACGAGGACGATACCGCACACCCTCAGTCCCTAAGCTAATCAAAGTGGTCACTGACCGCTTACTGAACGCTGCCAGTGATGCTTGACTTCGGTTTTCTACTGAGTACCGTGTCTTTACGATCAGTTCACTGCAGGACAGGTCTGTGTGTTAAACGCAAAGAATGGTTTATAATCCTCTGTCAAGTTGATAAACAACTAACTTCACTAAAAACCTTCAAAAAGCTGAGTCGCACAGTGGACTAATCCTAAGAAACAGTTTCCAATAGATCCTTGACGTCATGTCTCACTGTCAGTGAGCAGAGGGTGACCACTTTGATTGGCCTGCGTAGGAACCTGGGAGCGCAGTATCGGTCCTCGTTAAACTGTTTTACCGTTAAGGGCTCGACATGACGTGGATATCGTAGGACTACCAAAACGGTTGAGCCATTGCCTCTGCAGAGGATGCCTTTGGTTCATCCTCAGAGACGTTTCCCAGACTGTCACCAATAGACTATTGCGCAACGTATATGAAGTCTTCCAGTTCCACTTCAAATAGTTGAAATTAAACTTCTGTAGCCGAGGAGTATTGTCTTTTCACAAAACTCTCTGAAACGCGGAAGTAGTAAGTTCGAATTCCACCGCAAACCTGGATGTATCTTTGGAATGTTCTTTTCTAATTTGTGTTATCTGCTCTCCGATTCGACTAAGGTATACCATCTGTTCTTTGTATTAATCATACAGCCCTACATATACATGGGAATAAATAAATAATGGGAAAATGAATCCTGTATAGGCAGGAAAGACTTAGGTCACAATCTATGACAGAGAAGTTTATAAATTTTTACCTTGACGTTGAGCCCCAGAATTTACAAACGAATTGTAGGAAAGCATAAAATTCTAAGACGCATCTGGGATGTCGAACTTGATTTCTTGATGCTTCATTTAGCTAAAAAACAATACCCCACAGTCATGAAATCTCTAACTGTATCTCATATAATACAGTTAAAAAATTAAATTATTTTCAACCGCAAGTTTTAATCCTTTCTGCTACTTCAGAACTAATTGCCTTGATAGCGGTAGAGGTAGTTCGTCGATTTTGATATCGAGAGCCAAGACGTTATAAAGTCCGAATTTTTGTAAAAACTTTTAGCTTCTTTAGTTTTTAAGTAGAAGGTGTTTTTAACTTCGTAATATTTATCGACGTTTCTAAATAATTTTTATAGAGTTATTTATACTATGACTGATAAAGCAAACCCTCAGTTTGTTATAAGAAATTTGCATTGTAATGACATCTCGGAACTGATATCGTTACCTCGACTGGAAGGACGGGAAATGGGCCAAGAATCTGAAATCTCGACATGGCTGAATATTGATCCTCATGGAATTTTCATAGCTGTGAATGTTGAAGATGGACTTATTGCTGGCTGCTGCAGTGGAATAGCATTATCAGAAACTCATGGTTACATCGGTATGTTTGTTGTGAAAGATATTTATCGTGGACTAGGACTTGGACGAGTTCTCTGGCAGGCTGCTATCAATCGTTTGGGAAACCGAAATGTGAGTTTGAGCTCTGCTGCAAAGATGTTAAGCTTTTACCGGGATAAGGCTGGTTTTTCCTTATCTGCTGAATGGACTGTTGATTTATACACAGCAACGAAGCCTTACTTACCAAGTATTTCAATTTCTCGTTACTTTCCATTTACGTTCATTGTTTCGTCCGAAAGCCTTTATGTTCAAGCTTTGATTGCCTACGATTCTTCAATACATAAATACAATCGTTCTCGTATTGTCCAAGAGACTATAAATGAACCTGGTACTGTTACCGCAATGTCAGTTAAGTTATCAGCTAGCTTTAAATTAGAAACTACAGGCTATGCTTGCATGAAAAAAGGCCTTCAAGGACATTGGTTGCTAGCTCCTGTTTATGCAGATGATTATTCATCAGCTAAAAGCTTAGTCTATAGTCTGTTGAGCTCTTTGAGCTCGGAACAGAGACAAGAGGGTGTTGTTGCGAAATTAGTAAGCTCTAATTACGAAGCTGCAAAACTTTTTTATGAATTCGGGCTAAAAAGAACTTCCTATCAACTCCAGCGACTGTTCACAAAAGAAGTATTTGAAATACCAGAAAAGAAAGTATTTGCTCTGCAAACATCAGTCTTCTGTACAGAGTGAATGATCCCGAACTTTTCTCAACCGGAATGTACGCTGATTCATGGTAATGGATAATTAAATTTTAAATTTGTTTTAAAGAACTATACTTGTTTATTTTTAAATATAAAATATGGCCTTATTTCCTTGCAAACATAGTTGATCTATGTCTTTATTTCGTTGAACGAACTGTGACTAAAGGCCTATTGTTCAATTATTTCTTAAGTGTTAAATTAGAATTTGCAATGTTTACTGGCTAAACGTGGTTATCTCAGTTTTTACTTTGATACAATGTTTTCATTGCTTTTTTTATTTAATAAAGTATTTTGTAGCACAAATGAATTTTTTTTATTTTATGAAATCCTGATTACTTGAAATAATTGAATATTTTGTGTAAATTAGAAATTTTAAATTAAATTTTAAATTTTTAATATAGTTTTCAGAATATACTTATTGAAAATTTTTATTTTCGAGAGATATAATATACTCGTGCTAACGTACTTTCATAAATTTTAGCAATTAACTAAGTTTATTCGTACATTTATATTAGTTATCTCTGCGACTAATTCTCCTTTTCATGTTTTCTACATTCCTGCAGCAATTCAAAGATTTAAATTGCATTAAGTTTGAACTGAACCTTGCAAAAAAAATTTATTTCACCAATTTTGTGTGACTAAGCTTTTTTAAATGAGATTTCAATAATTATATGTATTTTTAAATTCCATATATTTAAAGCGATGTCTCAAAAACTATCTCCACAAGAAATCTTGGAGATCTGGAATTTTAAGCTTTTGATTTGGAAATAAGGCAGCCAAAGGCAGGTTTAGATCTATAACTCTAATTGTCAACTTCTGCGCTTTTTATGAAACACATTTTGAGTAGACGAAGTGGCAATTAAACTTGTTGCGACAGCACTAAAAAATTTTCAAGCTTCATTATTTTTATAGATCTTGCAGATATATTTTTAATAGCTATGTCATATGGTGAAATAGTTTGAAGCAAATTTGCTGTTTACAGAAAACTGTCTGCAAAGACGTAAAAGTTGGTAACAAAATAACTCTGCATTTTTTTTCTGAACAGATATTGTATCTTCTATTGAAAAATATATTTAAAAGCTTTTAGCGCTGAACTTTAATTCTTATAACATAAATGGGTACTTTGGGATTATTACGTCGACCATTTTTGTACTTCGGTATTTTTTTTCCAATGCCCACCTGGAGAATGAAATTTAGTCATACAAGTATCTGAAAGGCAGATTTGTTGGCTACTCTTTCATGGGCACATTATTAAGTGGACCAACATTGCTCCCACTGTAAGAACAGATAGTATAGAGAAGGAAAGAACATCCATGCCTTGCCCTGGATTCGAAACCAGAACCTTTCTGATGCAAGGCCAGTTCCCAGAAACCTACACAGGCCGGTCGGCACTTGGGTATTATGCCGTCGACCATTTTTGCCAAACCCGATATAAACAAAAGGTAGCTTCTGCTCTGCAAATTTTATATTTACTGTGTAATCCTTGACTACGTGACCTAGTTTTCTTTAGCGTCTTGAAATATACTGTTAATTATTAATTATATACTTCGCTGTAAAACTATTCGAATTAATGTGCCTAGCACCGAGGAGATTTAATTTTTATTTATTTTATAACCGTCCTTGAGCAGCCAAACAAAATTTGTTGGGTTTACGACTAATGTTCATCTCCGTAACCTTGTAATTTTGAATCCAATCCAGAAGACAAAGGAACTCCTGGTTCAAGTATTGGGAGAAATTTGCGTTCGTGGAGGACTTTTCGATAGAATTAACCCGCATAGGCGTTACATGGAGAGGAAAGACCACGAGAACATCCCGCGGTAAGCCTGGCTGCAAGGGGACTCTAGCCCATGATCCATCTACCACTGAGGATATTTTCACGTCAGCACTGTGGTCGGTGCAAGCCGGATGCGGAATTCATATCGACCAGTCATCACTGGGTACTATTAACTGGAATAAACGGTGGCAAATACTTGTTTCACATATTCAGAGGAGGGTGAAACTAAACTGTTAAATAGTAAAGTGTGCAATTGTTACCGGGTTCTATTTTTGCATTGATTTAAATGAACTCAAACTCTTGTACATGTGTCTAATAGTTTAGAATTTAAAGTTTTATCAGCAAAAGTACAATTTTGTACCTATACCTATTAAGAAGTCTGGCGTTAGTGTATAAACAAGTGTGATATTGCTTCTTCTGTTTTTCTTATAAGTCTAATAAAATAAAATTGAATTATTCAGTTAATTATGAAGTTATAATGGTTTTATGTGCAAACGGGTATAAATAAAAATATTTTTATAAATAAAATGCTCAGACGCGTTAGAAAGTAAAAATGAGTCTAATCCTGTTCTTTTTGCATAAAAACAACCTCTAAACTACAAGTCTCATAAACTTGGGAATAGTTTTAATGAATTACGTTAGAAACAATGATTCATTCATCTAGATAAGAATATTTAAATATTTATCTTCGAGTTTAAAGCGTTTTTAACTAAAATCTTTCAAATCATAATCTTTTTAACCTAATTGATAACTTTTCATGCTGGTCCGTATTTCTGACAATCAACGCGAAAGGGTTTAGAAATTTAAAAAAAAAAAAAAAGAGAAAAAGTACCATAAACTAACTCGCAAAAGTCATTATACATAAAAATATCTATATATAAACATTTAAACTTTTCGTTACATTATAATTGATTAAAATATCCTTTTCATCCAGGATCGCATTTAAACGTCTGGAAATAGCTCTTATCTAGAATATTGGAGAATTTTCTCCAGATTCATCCATTCTTCGATCATTAGTATTAGTTCGTTTTAATTCGTGTTTTCGTAGTCTAATCTCCAATTCTTTTCTAACATGTTCCATTGGAATTTAAATCTGGTGATTAAGGTGGTATTTTCAAAATTTGTGGTCAGTTGAAGATAATTAAAGCGGCAGATATTAAGAGCCGTGTGCTTAGGATTGTTTATCTTCATATACAACAAAAAATTTTCAATACCTAAATTTTTTGCTGATAATTTTAAATTTTCTCTTAAAATAGTTATGTAACTGAAATGATTTATGCCATCAATAAATACCAAATTTCTAGTCCTGATGCTGATATGCATCATCCACACGAGGACACCTCCAGCGCCATGCTTAGTTGTCCTTGGCATTAAGTTCGAGTCGACAATCCAACGCTTGGAATCGAAGTTTGGTTTTCCTTTTGAAAGGTAAGAGCTCTATGCCCTGAGCCACAGTGACTCAGTTGGCTAAGCGTTTATTTATCAAGGTGTTCGATTTTGAAAGGGAAAGTCTGAGATTTCTATTTTTTTGCACTCACAAAAAATTTCTACTAGTAATACACTCATTTAATACAGCCGCCCTGGAAAACTAGTCAAAGGGTTTTTCAGATGAAATTGAAGTAAAAAGTACTTCGTTAAATTCTGCAAAACCTTTTACAGCACTCAAACATAATTTTCTAACTATAAATCTTTGACCACATTTTGTTAACTTAATAGAAAAACCAATTTCTAAAAAAAACTTAAATTTGATGAGATTATTTTCTGTTTACGAGCCATTTTTAATAAATAAAATATTACGAAAAGGCAAGTAAATATTAACGACGAAGTTTTTTTTAAAATGTCATTACAATGTTAAAATTAACTAATATATATATATATATGTAACATCATTTTGCATATATATATAAATATAAACAAAAAGGAAAAAGAGCAAAGAAAAATAAACGTAGGAATTTAAGACGTAATTAAACGTAGAAATTTAATTTACTGCTCTCATAAGCTTCAAGTATGAGCTGCAAGCAAAAAAAAAAAAAACAAATTAATGCGAAAATATAATCTGATCATCAGCTCACACCATTATATCCGTAAAAAGGGGTGCTTTATATTATTGCATCAATATAACCAAAGCAAAGTATATGAATACANTGAACAAAAAGGAAAAAGAGCAAAGAAAAATAAACGTAGGAATTTAAGACGTAATTAAACGTAGAAATTTAATTTACTGCTCTCATAAGCTTCAAGTATGAGCTGCAAGCAAAAAAAGAAAAACAAATTAATGCGAAAATATAGTCTGATCATCAGCTCACACCATTATATCCGTAAAAAGGGGTGCTTTATATTGTTGCATCAATATAACCAAAGCAAAATATATGAATACAATAATGTGAGGAGCCCTCAAAAAAATTGAAACGAAAATAGAACGCATTAAGCAAAAAATATATACGAAATAAAAGATATCAAGCAAAAAACAAAAAATAAAATGTAAAGAAAATGCAGAACAAAACTCAAAACAAAATCTTCATTTGAATTCACTCACTCGCTTTATAGATTTCATTTTGTTTTGTTCTGCATTATTTTTAGTATTTGTACATTATATATATATAGATAGATAGATAGAGATGTAAATAGAGATATAGATATAGATAGATATAGTTAAATATTCAGAGAGATTCGGAGATATATTCGAAGATATTTCAGAGAATATTGACTTTGGTGGTGTGTTCTCTGTTTTTTCCCATTTTTAAGAAAAGAAATTCGATAAATATTTCAAAAAAAAAAAAAAAAAACAGAGTTTTATGTAGAATCTCATTGACGTCACGTAAAGATATTTTGGACATCATATTCGAATTCAATTTTGGGTTACTTCGCTTCTCTTTAACTGCAGATTTTTAAACTGTACGAACGCTTTTTAGAACCATTGCATATGCACATATACTCAAAGAATTTTGATTTGCATCGCTGACCAAAAAAAATATCTCCAGTTTTAGCCTGTGGTTATGAATTATGACACTAAATACTTATACCCTTCTGTAGTAGATTTGAATACAATGAATTGGTGTCTATGAATATGAAATTTGCAATTTGAAAAAAAAAATGTCAGTGCTAGAATTTTTTCTCTAGTTTTCCTGAAATCAAAGTACAGGAGTCTGCCGGAATTAGCTATTGATTTCTAAAACCCGTTTTTAGTGGCAGGTCTGAGATGCATTTGAAATGCTAACATTGATAGTATTTGGGAACCAAAAAGGGAAAGAAGCACAGATAACTATGACTAGAGGGTCTCAGGTTCGTGCCTAAAGACATCAATAAACATTAATGCTTGCAAATGCTTTACTAAGGTAGAATCGCGTGCTTTTTACGCTTGGAATGTGACAGAAGACGTTAATGTGCAGTTTTGCATCCGGTAACTTAGAAGAACCTGGGCAGGCTTCTTGGCCTTGAAGTCTCAACGATCCCCCAAACTCTCTGTAACATAGAGGTAGTGGGTTCAAATTCCGCCAGAATCCTAATGTATCTTACGCAAAGTTTTTCTCCAATTTTCAGATGCACTATTTGTTCTTCGACATGACAATGGCTTATAAAACTGGTACTTGGAAATGAGCACTGGAGACTACATACGTATGTGTAACGTAAGTAAGGGGCCTTCCTGGCTGAGCTGTATTTTGCACCTAACGCTCTGCAAGGTAAAGGTAACGGATTCGAATATCACCGTAACCCACCCAGTATGTATCTTCGTTTATTCTTCTCTGAATTGTTATATCTATCTTAATACTTGTCCAAGACTTATAAGCCGTTCTTAAATAATAGAGCACACAAGCCTACACGTATACTAACAAATAAAAACAACGTAAATAAATAAAATAAGGTTCATCATTGTCCGCGATAGACGGCGGTACTACTTGGTACTGTCTCTCCTATTGTGCTATCTGTCCTCTTCTACTTGACGAAGGTTTATAAGCCTATTTTGAGCACACAAGCCTGAAAATTTATGTAATTGCAATAATCAATATCGTCGGGCTACCGAAGCGGGGATGCCATCCCCTCTGCAGAGGATCAAAATTGTGAGGGCATGTCTTCGGATCATCCTCAGGGATGTTTCCCAGACCGTCGCCAATAGCCCATTGTGCAGCTCTAGTGCGACGTAAATGAACTACAACAACAGCAGAAATAACCAATAACCAATAAATAAAATAAGGGCCTTCCCGGCCAAGTGATCGCACCGTTCCCCGAAACGCACTGTATAAAGGAGGTGGAGGATTCGAATTCTAGCGCAAACTTGCCTGTATCATTGTTATGTTCTTTTCTACCTCGTGCAATTTGTTCTTCTACCTGACAAGGACATATAGGCCGCATTTTGTACTGACCAATTTGATCGCAGTATTTTCATAGCAGCACTTTTCAGAAGCAATCTTTAAGGATGTCGAGCTGGTGATAACTGGAGGAAGCTTTACATGAGCAAGCAGATATAGTTTGCCTACGGTACAAACTACGGAGAGAAAAGATTCCCTTTTTCTCGCCGTCACGAGCAAAAATCTGTCCTAAACAATGACTCCATACTCCTACTTTAAATAATTATGCATCGTTACTATAATCTCCACCGCTGACTTGTGCTGAGATCAAGACAAAACTATTTACCCCACACCTTTCATAACCATGGTTATGCATAACACCCACCACCACGCGAGACTCATGTATGGAGAAGCTCTCCTGAGAACCGCACTATAGAATGGTTTTGAATGTTGTAAGAAGTATTGCAAAGCAAACTGTCGCATCTACTAGAGGTCTGCGTAACAAAGTTCGGCAAGTGCCACACGTTTCCTCCCAGCAGTGATCCTGATCTTAAAGACACGGTTCCCAGTAGAGCACCAAAGTCAATCATCACTGACTGCGGACTACTATCTGACCCAGTATCACCAGAGTCAATCATCACTGAGCGGGTGAATGGCCTTTTATCAGGATGAATGGACTTTTATCAGCCTGTGTAGGAAACGCAGTTCAGCAGCATTTGTTATACTGTTCTACCGTAAAGTGTTTGACTTCATGCGTTGCTGGCCAGGCTATCAAAGCTGGGGAGTCATCCCCTTTACAAAGGATTAAAATTGTGATGGTATATCTTCGGTTCCTCTTCAGGGATGCTTCTCAGATTGTCTACAATAGCCTATTGTGCTGCTCTAGTGTAATGCAAATAAACTACAATTTTCTGCCACGCGTTTCCAAAGGGGTCCCGCAGTGGACTGATCGTCAAGACACGGTTCCCAGCAGATCACCAAAGTCAAGCATCACTGGCTGGGGTTAGTGTGCGGGTGGCTGACCACTTGGATCAGCCTGCGTAGGGACCAAGGGTGTGCGGTATTGGTCCTCGTTAAACTGTTCTACCGTAAAGTGCTCGACTTCGCGCGCAGGTCGTCGGGCTACCGAGGGAGCCATCCCCTCCGCAGAGGATCAAAATTGTGATGGAATGTCTTTGGATCATCCTCAGGGATGTTTCCCAGACCGTCGCCAATAGCCCATTGTGCAGCTCTAGTGCGACGTAAATGAACAACAACAACAACGTTTCCAAAGGGAAAAAAATTTAAGCGACATCTATATTGCTTAAAAAATATAAAACTGCTACACAAGCTGCAAGCTAGTGAAAATGATAAAAAAAGAAAATCCTTAAAAAGCCTGTCATTACTTTCTTTCTTTTAACTTTAACTTTATCTCTGAGCTGTTAAAAAAATAAATAAAAATATAAACAGTTTAGACAGACTATAATGATCAACAATTTTCATTTGTTAAGTTTTTTATATTTTTGAAACTCACGAGGCGAATGGTTGCGCGATGACAGTAAAGTAACATGTAAGTTTATTCTTTGTTCTATTTATATTCAGTAGGGTTTGTTAGTTTTTCTGAGGGTTTTATATAGTTTTAGAGTTTGATGCTATAGGAGTTGTACAATTATATACTCGGAAATAATATTTCCGTAAAGGTATGAAAAATGTTTCATTTACAAATTCGATATAATTTAAAGTTCAATATTTTAATATGTACTGGAAAATTATCAGTTAGCTTTTTAATTTTTAGATTTTTGACCTATAGAGTTATGAATTTTAAAAGACACAGAGTTTACCGGTAATTTTAGGCGTATACCTATCTTTATGATGAATATAACTTATAAAGTAAAGTAAATACCTATTGTAAGATGTGTATAAACTTGATTAGTGGTTATGTAGTAATGATTCACTTTTAAAAATATCAACTGCAATATTCTTTTGGTAATAGCAGTGTATTGTGCGTTGTATCATGTAAGAGTAAAACTTTGATGGAAAAAAAATGATAAGCTAGGTTTGGAATAATAAGTTTACTGTTAAATCCAAGATTTGGACTTAGAAAACCTCAGAGTATTTCAATAATTTTAGTTTGTGTAAGGTAGGAGAAAACCTTCAAAACTCCATTTACATGTGCTCCATATATTAAGGCTGAGTTTTTTTTTAATTTTTTTCTGAACTATTTTTATCAATAGCTCAAAATCAGGGGCAGGTTTTGCTCCATTACAGAAAAATTTGTTCTGATATAAAAAACCTTATTATTACATAAAATATAATAAGCGTTTTGGTTTTAACTGAAAATCCATTGGATATTTAAGTAGTTAAGCTGGAATATCTGTAATATTAAACTTAATGAATAGATAATTATAGATACAATTGATAAAAATAATACCAAAGAAATGTCATCTTTTTCAAAATAATTTGTCATGTGAAGAGCTTAGTTGAAGAAGCAGATAAATAACATTTTTTAAAAAAATTTGAGATTGCTCTGGGAGAGTTTTTATTTAAGTCCTATTTAAATTTTTAATATTAATTTATATTGCTAAATCTATTAATTTAAAGGATACTTTGTGGAAGGAGGTAAAGGACATTATTTGAGTAATATTCTTCTGGCAATAGACCTTATAAGTAATTTGGCTACAAATAGTAGTCAACAAGCAGCTGTGGAAAATCACCCCTTTGACATTGCACGTCGAGGCACGGGGAGAAAATGTAAAATATTAAGTAACAGCTTCCATACTTAAAAGAGATTTTATGAATCAATAGTTATAAAATCGAAAGAAAATATAGCAACAGACACACTGCATTATTAGTGAATTGAATTTTTTTTTCTGAGCAAAGTTGGGTTGAAAATAAAAAAATTTTTTGTTTATCCAGGTTTTTCAGTGTGTTTATTATTGTTACTGATAAAATGCTTGTTCTTTGTATCAGATAAAAAAGACTATATAATCAATAAATTGGTAATGATAAACATTACAAATTCATGCTTATTTAAATAAAAAAAATTTTGGACTTATTCAGACTAATAAGGCTATTTAAAACTGCCTGCCAGTTTCTTTTAAATTGAAGTTGCTATAATTCTAATTCATGAATATAAGCTTAAATATATGTATATTTATTTCCATTTTTCGAACAGCATTATATTCATTGAAAAACTAAATATTAAAATTCCTCCATTAAAATAAGCAGGTGCTGTGTGGAAAAAAATCATTGAAAATCCACTTTTATTAAAAGAGTCAGCGTGAAATAAATTTACAATAAAATGTTTTATGAGTTATGTCTTCATAAATATACTAAAAGCAAAGGTTGAGTGAAGTAGCAAAGATGAGCAACATATAAACTTAAAAACTCATTTACTCTAATTCACTTTGCCACTTTCCTGGTTCTAACGATTAATATTAATTTAATTTTCAACTGATGTTTTTTTATCATGGACTTGCAAACATTTCTCAAATGGTATTTTGCTTTAATTAATTGACTTAAATCCCAAATTGCACATCACAATTTAATCTTAATATGCTAGTCGCTGGTGTAATCTTTGTCCCTGTATTTGCCCCTTTTCTTATACAAATAACTCGCTACAATTCACATTCGGGCAAAATATTCTTACCTGGCCATTTGAAATATTTTCATGTGCTTTAAAGGTCAAATATGGAGTGTTGTATTTATGTGATTTTTCAAAACAAATATTGATGGTCGTATTCCTATAATTTTAAAATTAAAAATCACGTTGTGCTTTTATGTAATTTTAAAGTAGAACGATTTGGGTTATTTGACATAATTATTTCAAGCCATGTTTGTTACATTGAAATTTGATTTTTTATTTATGAATTTTGAATTTTTATTTATTTGTTCATTAGTTTTATAAGTTTTTATTATCTTACAAGAATGATGCAAATTTTTGATAAATAATTAAAATCATTATTAATATTATTATTAAAGGTAGGTACCTTTATTTCTTTTAATGTGATTTTTAATTTCCATTCATTTTTACTTTAATATGTAGGTATAGTTCAATAAAAAAGATTTAAAAGAAATATATGGATTTCTTATTTCCGAAATTAGAATTTGGAATTTCGTAAACATGAAGATCGACCACAATCAACAGAATAGATGCTTGCCCTTTTTATGCACTTTTCCCCCCACTAAAATTTCAGGTATTTTTTTAAGAAGGCACTACTACCCCTGTATCTAGTTATCTAAAGTTTATGGTTTAATTTTTTTATTTTTCAGTTTAGTTATTTATAAACTTGTTCTTGTTAATCTGTTTTAATTGTTTATTCATAAAGCCTTTTATTTTCCAGATTTACGAAGCAGCTTGTTTTTATTTTTTCTTTCTGGGAAGTATGGAGGTGTATGATTTACCTCGTTATAAGCTTTTGTCAGTTCCTTATGCTAATTATGTGAGATGATAAATTTTGAATGCATATGATATTATAAGTAAGTTTTTGTTTTAATTCTTTTCCTTCAGTTATTACTTTCTGAAAATAAATAATATTCATAAATGTAGATATAGAGTTTTGTTTATATGATGCTATATCTTATTTCTGATTAACATTTCATTGCATAGATAACTGCTAAGATTGTTATGTTAAATTGGAAAAGTATTCCTTACCTTATCTGCCAGTAGATTTCTTGGTTATAAATTTTTAAACTAATAACTTATATTTGTATTGTTTATTAAGAGAAATGATGTGCATCAACATAATTTTATCAAAATTCTCATTTATATGAAGATGCCTATCTTCTAATAAACATTTCTGTACTTTACTTAGCTATGTGATTTTTGAATTGAGATGAAAAATTCTTTTACTTTGTCAGCTACTAGATTTTTTAACTGTTTAGTTTGATTGAAAAGAATCAAAAATCATTCTTCTTTTTGTTATGCTTATAATTACTAATTAGGGCTCAAATCTAAGAATAGTCATTAGATCCGGTACCACTAAAATTCGACTTTGACCTTCATCAAATAATTATAAATGGTCTCCTTTACCTTCAATTTTTGTAAAGAGCTGGTTTTGGCCATTTTATATTAATGCTCTTATTTAGATCTGTGTGTTTGTCATAATCATCATAATTGTGAACCTAAGACATTCTCTGTATTGCAATTTTTCATTTAAATTCACTTTATTAATTTGTTATTAGAAAAGCTAACAGAGATGTGTAAAAGAACCAATGAAAATTTGTATGAGCTAGTACTATCTTTAAGTTGCATGTCGTTTAGACCAGGGACTAAATATTCTGAATTTTTAACCTTTAGTTATCCATTGTAGAAGTTCAGTCTACAATCAACAACGATTAAATGTCAATTTTAAGTTTTCTTTTGTTTTAACAACTATTATTTTCATTTTATTTATTCTTGTTGTGAAACCTACTTTTTCAGTTCAACGTAAATTATTTTTTAGTTCAAGTTTTGTTATTATATTATTTGTTTATTGCATTATTATCTCTTAATGATTATAGAAGTTAATTTTTTTTACTTCAGGTTTTATTAATACATTAATCTCTGAATAATTGGAAATTTATTTTGTCTTTCAAGCAGGTTTTCTCAAGGAAAATAGAGTAGCATAATCAGCATTAATGTATAGTTATGTGGTGTAACTACCACTACAAATTTTAAATACCAAAATCACTAGTATATAATTATAAGACATGTTAACTTGATTCTATCTTGAGGTACCTTTTGATAGATGAAGGTTGACATGGTCACTAATTAAATCCCCTCAATGGTGACCCAGATGTGATAAGAACTTATCCAATATTGATGGATAATTGAACTAAGCCAATATTGATGGATAATTGAACTAAGCCAATATTGATGGATGATCCACATTAAACAGTTGATTTGCTTAAAAATATACTACTCTAAAAAATAAAAAAAAAACTGGAAAGTAAATAAAGACTCCCGTTCAATAAAAAATATTGAAGGAAAAAAATGTGCGAAATGCTATAAACAAAAATAAGAAAAAATAATGAGAAAAATGCTATAAAAGTATAAGACATGTTAACTTGACTCTATCTTGAGGTACCTTTTGATAGATGAAGGTTGACATGGTCATTAATTAAATCTTCTCAGTTATTATGTAGTTTCTATATATTTATAGTTTCTATATATATGTAGTTTATGTAGTATCTATATATATCTTTAATTCTTATTTTTGCTCTTACTTGTTTTTGGCATTTTTAAACAACTAAGTTATTTTATTACTGAACAAATTGACAGTACGAAAATAAATAAATAAAATGAAAATAAATTAGAATAATATTTAAATATTAGTATTGGATCCAAGATTTCAATCTTTCTGTAGTAGTTGCTTCTTCTAACTTAAGTTGACTTCATCAATGGTTTAAAAATTTAAGTGACAGCGTAGGATTTTTCTGGTCTTGCTAAATGTTATTTTCATAATTTAACTCTAGTGCAGCATTAATTGTTAAGTGTTGTGTACCCGGAATTAGAATCTCTCCAGCATGCCAGCCGACGCTGTGGATTATTTTTCAGAAAAAAAGTTTTTTGAAGGAGGCAAACAGATAAGGATAAATTGCTGAGACACCTTTTTAAATCATTTCTTAATTTGTTTCATATAAAAATTTTAAAAAAAAGATGAATTTATCAGAAAACAAGAAGCAAAGAATTTTTTTTCAGTAACTTAATTGATGACCTAACTGTATAAGGATTTGTTCAAATTTTTTTTAGTATTGTATTAAATTCTACCTAAAAGTAAACAACACAAAGATCTTATGTATAAATTTGTTTACAAATTTTGCTATATCAGTATATTAGATTAAGCTGAATTCTTGCTATAATCTAATCATCTCTGTCTGACTGCATTAAGGTGACAGACAGATTTGGATTTCTGAGGATAGTGTTCTAGAGATATACTATGGACTATTCCAACTGTCCGGGAAATGTCCCTGGGAACACAAAGATCTTATGTATAAATTTGTTTACAAATTTTGCTACATCAGTATATTAGATTAAGCTGAATTCTTACCATAATCTAATCATCTCTGGCTGCATTAAGGTCACAGACAGATTTGGATTTCTGAGGATAGTGTTCTAGAGATATACAATGGACTATTCCAACTGTCCGGGAAATGTCCCTGGGAATGGTTCGAAGACATGAAAATTTTTATCCTTTGCAGAGGGAATGGTTTTCCTGCTTTCGTAACTCTAAATCCTGTTTGTAGAGACGAGCACTTTATGGTAGAACAATTTAAGAAGGACCAATACTGCACCAGTCTCTTCAGAGGCTGAGCAAAGTGTTTGACCACCTACACACTGACAACAGCTTGTGATGCTTGACTTCAGTGATTTATTGAGATCAGTGATCTAGAATTCACCATCTGCAATTAATTACCTTATCAGTAATTTAAATTAGTCCAAGCTCGTCTTAAAAACAATTTATTATCAAATTCTTCTTAAATAACTAAGTGCAACAATTTTTTTTAATCAAAAAATTGTTAAACTATTATTGATAATTTTACTATGTAAAATTATAGAATTATAATAATTGTAATTGTTAATTTCCTTTGGGATTGAAAAAATTCAGTATATACTTTATTTATGTAGGCAATTTGATTTGTTAGCAATCAGATTTTTATCACCTTTTAAATGTTTTGTTTTTAAAGTAAATTATTTGAAATGGTATTTAACTTTTTTTATATTATATAAAACATTTAGTTATCTCTCTATCTAGGCAAAAAGAAATATGGATTAATATTTTCAAAGCAAATGACAAAAGAAGGAAAAATTTGTGTGCATTATGGCAAACAGAAATATAGGAAAGCAACAGCCTTCTGGTGTCACTGTACAATTTGAACAGCCAGAAAAACCCAGCAGCACTTTAAAAGTAAGTTCATTTAAGCTTTCATTGTAGTATTTGTTTTTATGTTAGTAGTTTTAATTTTGATATCTTTGGTATTATAAAAATTTTGCTTTTAAAATTGTTAAATATGATTTGAAAAATATTAAGTCACGTTCCTCTTTAACTGTCTCATGTTTAAGTTTATATTAGGCTATATACAAAGCCATAATTATGACTTTTTTCTGAAGTCACTCATTTAGAGTATTGAAGATAAAGGTTTTAGACATTAAGTTATCCATTTATTTAATTAAAAGATGATAAAAAGAGAATTTTTGTTTTATTTATTTGCATTGTATAATAGGAATGCAGTTTTTGCTTAACTGTGCCCTATTAAGCACTGAGTTATTCAATATTTCATTGAAGGTTGATAGGTTGTATTTTTCAATTGTGTGAAATAAAATGTTAGAATAGTTTTATTGGAAGGTTATTTTTAAGAATGTTAATATATTTATCCCGCTGGCAGTGAAGATGATCATTTCAAGTCTTGTTGAAAAAGGTAGGTCACTGATGGATCTGCTATCTCACCCACTCTTGCACTTCATCAACCATTTGCCCAAAAAGTTAAGAAAGTTTCCAGCCCTGGGGATACCAAATACAGTTGTAGAGATGCCAAAATAATTTTGTGTAAAAGTAGCTTTGCCAATGGCGAAAATTGCGTTTTTTAGCACATGTTCAGTTTTAATTTGACTGTTCCTGAACTGCATTGAATTTAATTTTAACTATACTCTTGTAAAAAGTTATGAATTTACTTTTCATACACTTTTTTTTATTTTCTGTACTTTTTTTGTAATCTTTTATTTAAAGTCTGAAAAAAACAGTTTCTCTATTTGGCTCTAGCTTTAATTTTCTATTAATGGCTCTTCAAACACACTTTGAAATATTTTTGCAATCTACTTGTAAGTGTAAAAATAACTTGTAAACTGTAGAAGTAACTTGTAAACTATAGAAATTGTGCATCATAAATGTTTTTATTGACCAAAAACGTTTTTAGTTTTTTTTATTTACATTTTTGTTCTGACCTTCTGTAATTTTGACATATTATTGGACTTTATATCATTTACCCCTTCTGCATCCATATACATTTGTGTTGACTTTTTATTTTTTTGCATTGCTTTTTCCTGAATTTCTGAAAAAAATTACTTATCTTACTATTTTTTCAAAAAGTTTAAAATTTTCTCTAAAAAAAGCAATATTTTGTGAGAAAAAAAATTCTTAATAAATATCAGTTTACAAAATATGTTTTGAAGCTTTGGAATTTATATAAATTTTATTGGTTTAAAATATTTATTGGTTAAGTTCACTATTTTATTATCAATTTTTATTGAAACTTTTAACATTAACAATGATATTTTAAAAGAAAAACATGCCACAAAAGAATGAATAGTTTACTAAAAGTGTTACACTTTAAGTGCATTATATAACTGTAAACGTTACATATATTTAAAATGTAACACATATTGTTAAAAAAAAGTCTGTATTACATTTTGAGTTGTTCTGTCAAATAACTCTTTTTCATTGTGTAATCTGTTAATGAAACATTAGCTACTATGCTCTTATTTTTTTTTTTAGCTTTTACCTCTTAATGCAATAAAGTTAAATATGACGACTTTTTGGATGAAGATATTAACAAACATTATTTATAAATGATTAACATTTGCTTACTGATTATTTTTGCATAATGAGCAATCTTTTAAGAACGTAATGGAAGTACAAACTTTTTTCAAATTGAATTTTTGGATGCTTCATAAGTTGAAAATATAGGTAAAATCTGTAATTTTCTACCAAAAGCTGAAAGATATTTTTTTGTTCTCTGAATATATATTATTGTCCATTAATTGCATATTTTTTATTTATGCATATAAGAAATCGTCATTAACACATAAAAATTTCACCTGACGGAAAACTTAATTAGTTTTTTCAAAGATTATTTTTACGTATAAAGTACTTTATGCAATTAAAACTTGGTTAATATTTAAAAATGAATGTAAGACAGATTCATCCTGATATTACTGTCCTATCTGTCTCTCTCCTGCTTTTCCTTATTCTTTTCAAGAGACGATTCTTTGTCTTTATAAAAGAAAATATCCATATATGTTGTTTTACAAAGAATCTCTATCACTCTGTTAGGAAAATAGTATGTAAGTACTTGTCATATTGATGTTTTATTTTTTGAAAGTTTTTTGTTTATTTTTCTTGACTAAAGGCGGAAAAAAAATTTCAATTTTTCTCAGAAATGATAGTTTGACTTAATTTCAAGTTTATATACCTGGCAATTTGATTTTCACTTGTGGTAGAAATATGAGAATTGAAGAATCAATTGTAGACAAATATGTATGGTAAAAGAAAGAATTGGCAGCTATGCGTTATCTTTATTTAAGAGCAATTTTCAAATTAAAAGGGACAGATTTTAAATATATAAAATAAGTTTGTCTATATTTTTTAACCCTCTATACTAATAATTTTTTTTAAAAATGTTTTCATTATTAGTTGATTAAAGAATAATGTATTTTATTCCTCAGAGACATCCAAAAATGGAGCTTAGCAAACCTGATTTGCTTCAACTTCTTGGAGTGTTAGAAGGTGAACTACAAGCAAGAGAAATAGTCATAGCTGTATTAAAGGTTTGGATTTGTAGATTTAATTTTTTTTTACATTTGAAATTTATCTTTTCAGAATCTTGTGTAATATTTTTCAATTTAATGTTATTGTAATGTATTTAGAAATTTTATTTAGAAATATTAGAGTTGAATTAACATGGCTGCCAATTACTATGCTTTTTGAAAAATATTTTGTACTGTGGTAGACAATTAAAGCCTTAAGTTTTCAAAATTTTTAATAATTTTAGCAGCATTTTAAAAGCTTTATCTTGAGAGACCTGGAACAAAGGGGCATTTATTAGGAGTTTTTGAGTCATTTACATGTAGTGGTGTAAAAAATAACTAAAAATCGAATCAACAAAATTGAGAATCTTACACTAAAAAACAATCTTAGCTACCACTGGAAGAAATTTTCTGAAGTTGGTAGTTCTGAATCAATTTCCCTTTTAAATCAATCAACAATTAAAACATTAGGTCTTTGTATTTAGCTTGCTTTTGGCTCCTAGGCAGAGGTAGTATTATAGATGGAAAATACCACGCTACAAATTTTTCAAACCATTTGTTTCTGAGTAATATATTTTTGAAACTTTGAAAGTTTTCGCATTATTTGCTGTTTTATAACTTATAAATAACTATTACGTGAAAACTATTTGATTTTTCCAATTTTCAATGAGATTTTATAAAATATTTTCCTAATAAGACTAAGTTGTAATAAAAATGAAATAATTTTTTAAAAAGTAAACTTTTAAAAACTGAAAATTAAAAATTTTTTTAGAAAAAGTTTAAAACTTTTCAAAAAAAATGATTTAACTTATTTTTAGAAATGTTTATTTAAAATTTCAAGATTGTATTTTTCTTTATCATCCTAAAGAAATAAACTCTGGAAATGTAGCAGAAACATTAATAAAAAGGAGTTTATTAAATTACATTCTAATTTTCTGAAAAGGAAAAGTTTTTAATTTCAAAGCTTTTTTAAAACTTAAAAAATATTTTCTTATCCATGCTATATATTTTATAAAATGCTATTGAAAGCTGTACAAAATATCCTAAAATTTAATTCTTAAGGTTCTCAAGTTACTGTAGAAAATTTATTAATTTCCAAAATTTAAAAAAAAAAGCTTAAAGCAGGCTTAATAAACATGTGAGAAGATCATTAAAATCTAAATTGCTGTAAAAATAAATGTTTTTATTGGTTTTTTTAGTAGTATTATCTATATGTAATACTTTATACCCGATAATAGAGCTGGGGTAGAATGAACTACAAGTTTTGACATTAACAAAGCATAAGTACCATAATTTTGGGCATATTATCCGCATATTTCTCGTTTAAAAAGTGTTAAAATTAACTATGCGGATTATTTTATTTGTCATCACCGTGTAACTACGGAAGATATGAGCATTGAGGGTCATACACTACATGTTCTTAATTATTATTTCGTTTTGCCTCAAGAAAAAAAAAACAAAGCCAACAATTTTTTTTAATTCTTTGCGGAGATTGTGTTTGTTACTCAGTGTCACTGTGTGTGTTTCATGTACATCTGACCACTGCCCAGAGAAAATGACCTGATTATGAATGTATTTTCCCTCGTAAATCAAGCCATTCAAGCCTCGTAAATCAAGCCAAATCAAGCACTAATCCACCACTCCTTTCCTCTTAACAGCATTCAGAGGTGCGCCAACTGCTTGTTGTGAGAATGACCCTTTTTACGATCATTATTAAAAAAGTAAAAAAAAATCTTAAAAGCAGCTGAAATGTTTAAAAAAAATTTTTTTTCGTGTTTGAAGTTTTCTTTGTCACTTGCAAATTATGCACAGATACATATAATGCGTCAAAAAAATTTCCCTTGCATTAAATGCACCTAATAAATTACGTATACAAAAATTTATAAAAGTGAGTGCAATTTGAGATATCTAAGATTATGAGTGAATACTAAATTTCTTTATTGCTAGTTATCAAATAAATTATGACTAAATAATTTAAATATTGTTCTCAAAAATGAAAAACAAGCAGAAACAAATTTAAGTTTTCATGTTATATAAGATAGTTTGTTTAAATGTTCAAACTTTTAAAAAAATTTCTTAAGCTGTGTACTCATTTTTTGATAAGTCAAACACAGACAGGCTAACTTGAGATAAGTGAAATGTAAGCATTTATTTGTTAAAAGTCAGAAATTTTAAAATTCTGACTTAAAAATCAAGGTGAAATTTTCTCCCCTGTGAAACATTCACCATTTAAAAAATATTGGGAAAAAGTGTTATGTTATACAGGATCTAAGTAAGGTTAATCAATATCAAAGTTGAAGTTAACACTATTCTTATGAGTTCATATTATAAAATTTTTAATAATCCTTCTTTCAATGCTCTACTAATAATTCCTTACTAATAATTCTACTAATAATTCCCTAATTTTACTAATTAATTACTAATAATTCCTTAAATCCTTATTACACTCTTTAGATGCATTATTCTATATTTATTTATATATGTTTCATATTTTTTGCTGAAGATTTTTCTTTTTTTTATGTAGAAAATTAGAAATAGAGTTATTGTTAAAGTGAATGCATGAAATATTAGTTTTAATAATGCTCCGTAGTTTCATGTAACACTTAACATATCCATCATTACTTTTTTTTAAAGATCAAAAACCTTTTATGTATTTTCTGATTTTCTGTACATATTTTATTCAATAGTTTTTTAGCCTTTCTTTGTTTTGACCATTTCAATTGTTTATAGTATACATTTTAATATTTTATTTTAGGCTGAGCAGGTTAAACAGTTGCTTTATCCAAAGAGGAAAGCTACTGCCAGTGATCCATGGGCTGCACTGCAAAGAGATTGTTTAGGTGCGTTTGATGCTACATTTGATGAGTCAGCAGTTAAAAATTTGTATGGAATGCAATTATCACAGTTTGAACATTTCTTAAAGCAATATAAAATAGCTCAAATAAAGTTGAAAGAACAATTAGAAGAAGCAGAGCAGCGTTGTGAAAAGGTAATAATTTTATTTCTGATCTGAACATTAGAACATTTAGATCTGAACATTTTCATAAAAACTGATTTTTTTTTACACCTTACATTTTCTTACTATTTCTGTAGAACTATTCAATAAAATTAAACTAAACTTTCAGAGCAATTTTTAATTAATTACAAAAAATTAATTGTTGAATTTGAAAGAAAAGAGAATTTAAAAATTGATTGAGATGTTATCCTTTAAAGTAGTCTTTTTATTTTGCTCATGGGCTGGATACATTAATTTTTTATATATATAATTTGTTGTGATTTGCATTTGGTAACTTGTGAAAAAAGTCAATTTTAATGTATTGAAAATGTTAAAAGTTTCTAGCAATTTTTTAAGTAACTTTCATAATTTTTTTAAGGAAAGCTCTAAGTGACTAGGGGTTTACCACAAATTTCATAAAATCATATTGTAACAACAAATGATAATACCTAACAATGATTGTCCTGACAACAAAATGTTATGTGGAAGGAAAACATGTGGCATAAAAAATACTTTAATAGAGTATGGCCCTATATATTGTGCCAATGTCATTTTTAATAAATTTTGTTCAACAGTACAAAATAAAATTTATGGAAAACCCCTTACCTAGGGTTCAAAACATTTTTTTTTTTAAAAAAAAAAGGTACATGCAGCAATACAGAATATTAGTTAAGAGCACATGATAATGTTAGGTTGAAAATATGCACCAATAAAATCTGAAAACTATGACAAATTGTAATTCTATATATATATCTGGTTGCTGTATTATAATTTTATAGAGGTAAACTCACATATTACGTTATATACTTGCAAATTAAGAATCTTCCGTTTTAAAAAACTCCAAACAAGATTTTTTATCATTTAAGTGACCACTTTAAAGAACTGAAAACTTATACCTTCAATTCAAAGAATAAATAAAATTCTTCATTAAAATAACTGCAATATGAAAGTATTAGTAAATAAATTTTTGCAAAGTTTCAATACATAAATAGGAGTAAAGTTAGGGGGGGGGAGAATAAAGCACAAAATGTAGATTTAACTTTATAAAGTTAGCTTTTAATACAATCACGAATTTTTTATTTACCCACAAAATTTCTTCATCCATTTTTTTTTTTTAAATTTGCTTTAAATGTTCAATCGGCCTGTAATTTTGATGCGTTGCTACAGTCATTAGTTGAAGCCAATCAGATGTGCTACAGTCATTAGTTGAAACCAATCAGATGTGTGCCCAATAGAAAGTTGTGAATTTATATTTAAATCAGTTCATTCTGAATTAAAATTAATTTTGAAACCTATTTTGTTTATCATTTAATAAATTTATAAGAAGACAACGGTAAAAAATCATCAAAAAAGGGAAACTAAAGTTTGATGCTCACAGCACACATTGTTTCTTGTTTATTTACCAATGCCAGATGCACATCCTTGCCAGGTTGAAAGGAATAAATATAGTGAAGGAAAACACTAACTAATTTTCATTCATTTCTCCTTTGAAATGCACCATAACAGCATCACTTGAATGAACAAAACTGGTTATCGTTCTACATCTGCTGCAAGATTGGGAGATATTCTTTCTTCATGCATTTAACACATGTCTGGAATCAGCAGATGTGTTTCAGCATCATTTACGCAATCCCCCTCACGACGCATGTGCTTCAAAAAACTATCAAACTTTATTAGATAGGATTTAACTTATAAATTAATTAGTTTATTTATTTTTATTTTTCTTACAATTTATTTTCCAAATCTTCCTTCAAAAAATAAAAGCTTAAAGAATTAAATTTTTTCAAGTTATTATAAGACGTCTTCATAAGACATCCCTGAGATTTCTCTGAAGATTTGTTACCAATTTTACCATTCAAAGCTCTTTTTTCAAATTTGATTCACAATTTTTTTCAAATTACATAAAAAATTGGAAGAAGCTTTTTAAATTTTCAAGAAATTGAAATTAGACTTTTTTTCATAAGTAACCAAATACAATTCAGGACAAAATTATAAAAAAAAATTTTTAATGTATGCCTTCTTGTTAGTTTATGTAGTAAGAAAAGGTGAGGCGGAATTTTTTTTTTTTTTATATATAAAATTGTCTTTATCTCCATGAATATTTAAGCTAAGTTTATGAAATTTTGTCCAGTTAATGCATATGATAATCAAAGTAATTGATACAAGTTACAAGCTTATTGCTATATTTTTTGGCATGAGAAATCTGATCATCTAATTACTTTTAAAGTTGTACAATTATTCTCTAAGTATTTCTGGAGAATTATGGGAAAATGAATTAGTTGTCCAACCTTAGTATTTTATTTAAAAAAATTAACTTCATTTTTACAAAATTTAAATTTTATATTATGCCATTTTTACAACAATTTTAATGTGACTTATGTGACATAACTTATTAAAAAAAATTTCTGAAGAACACAGTTTGTACTATTTTTCCATATCAACAACCATTTCACAAGTTATTTAAGCTCTATCTCTAATTTTTTAGCATCATTAGTTCTGGATAATAATAGTACTAAACTAACACTAAAAAATGGGTGAAACAATGAAAATTATAACTTTCAAAATTTCTTAAACCAAACCTATGTCGTCAAATTTACCTACTGTACAAAATGTGTAACTGTTGTTCACAGAAATTGTACAGTTCTGTGTATGTTAAGTAGTACAAAAAGTGATGTCTATTATGAAGGCCTCATTTAATAAAGGTCTTAAATAGTTCTTTCTCCCTTTATTCATTAAACCAGTGGTAGAGCTGCAAAATTTTTATCGTTACTTTATTGGTCTAGTTCATACATCATTATGTAAGGGGTGCATTATTAACGATACTGATGTTAGTAGAATTTCAACAAAAGTTTTTGATTTTAGAGATATAACAAAATATGCTAACACTGAAATTTATTTAAAAGTAAGGCCTTCCCACAATAGCCCATTGTTCACAGGGGGAGGGCAGGGAGGTGAAAGCTCCACAATTTATTTACCAGCAACAAAATTGTGGCAAAGTGGTCAGCAATGCATACCGGAAGACTTCCAAGGTAAGCTGGTACCAATCAATCTGAAATTAACATAAAGAGGTATAGTTTTAATTGTTCTTCCAATTTAGCAATCAAGACCATATTTTCAAGATATAGCGAGATAGTTCCGATATTTTGCAAAATATGCATTCAGTAAGGAAAAGATATGTTTATTTAGATACGCTTAGCTTTATCTGATATCCTAACTTAAAATATTCTCAGCATTAATTGATTAGAATATATAATTTTAGGTGTTCTAACTTTTAAGTTTGAAAATTATTAATTAAAGTGTTCTGTTTTTATTTTGCTTACTATACAGGGTTATTCATAATTCCCTCTATTTACTACAACCTTATGTTTACTACAACTGGCTTCAGTGGTACATGTTACTGCCATCTATCGCCAACTGCTTAAATTAAAACTTGAATACTTTCACAATAATTTCATATGTTCTTTTTTGCCATATTCGTTTTCTTACTATAACGCTTCGAAACCCCGGAGGGAATTATGAATAACCCTGTGTATATGCTTAAGTGCGTGTCATATTTTCTTGGCTTCTGAGTTAAGAAAAGAATTATAAAATTTGGAAGTTGTGTCAGTAAGTCAACTACAATTATAAACTATTTTTCATAGATGACGAATAACTTTCTGTTTCGAATTTATGTTGCCTTTGATAAGTTTTAGTTTAATGTTGCTTACATTGTTAAATATATTATACAAAATATATTTGTTCGAGTGCCTGGTATTTTATATGTTTTTTTTTTCCTTCCTCTTAGTTGCTCTCTGAGTTGGAAGATGAAAAGCAAAAGCATGCTCAGGATACTGCTCAAGGAGATGATGTAACATATTTATTAGAAAAAGAACGTGAGCGTTTACATCAAGAAAATGAGTTTGAGCGCCAACAAAATAGGTGTATGGAGAAAGATATAAAATGCTTAACAGAAACTTTGGAGCAAGAAAGGCAGCGGCAAAAACAAATGATTTTAGTTTTATTAGCTGAGCGTAAACGTCTTATATACAGATATGCTGAAGAAAAGCAAAAATGTGATAGATTGTCACAGGTAATTTGTTTTAAAAATTTTAAAACAAAATTATAATTATATATCAGCTTTTTGACATCTTGAAATGTTAGTGCAGTATAGAATAAAACAATTCTAGATTGATACTTTGGTAATACTGTTCGCACTTTATTAAATAATATGTTTTTTAAAATCTTTTTGATCTCTGTTTATTCTGTTTTAATCCTTAATCTTTTGCTATTTTGCAAACTATCTGATTCACATGAATTAAATTTCTAAATAAAATCATATGCAATGCATACATATTCCCAATATTAATACTTGAGCATTTTTTCCCTCTTTTTCTCTGCATAAGTTCAAAAATCCTATGGTTTTTAAAGTGGGTTTCTAATAAGCTCAAAAATAAAATTTTGGTTTAATCTTTTTTTATTTTTAAAGCTTTTTTTGTGTTCGCACATAGTGATGATATTTAACTTTCAGCAGTTGTGCAATCTACAGAATTGTACTGAATTTTTCCTTTCATAAATTGCTTTGGCAAAGAGTTCATTTTTCTTTTGGTCATAATATTTCATTCATGTTATTAATTATAAAGTTCTTTTCTGTAGTTAACTTTACTATAAAGAATAATTAAAAAATTATTTGAAGCTTTAAAATTAGAAAAATTGACCCAAAAGTTTTGTAAGCTGTTTTGTATTTTGATGGAACAGCCAAATCATGCCTTAGTTATTTATCATAATTTTCTTATAGAAATTACATGGCTCTTAAAAATGTTAATGATTAAAATATTAACAAACATTACTTATTAAACTATGATTATTCCTTGTTGAAACATATTATTCATGGTTTTTATTTAGTCCTAAGTGCCAGACATCACTGAAAAGCTGGGTCCTTTAAAAATAAAACCAAAAGAAAAATTGACCCTAAAGATTAGAAATTTTTGCTAATAAGTATATGATAAAAGGTTTATCATGGAAGTAAATGATAAAACTTGGTTTTCTATTAAAGGTCAAATATTAAAGACTCAAGTTATTAATTTAAGTCATTCAATTGATTCTTTTATTTTATATTATCTTTCTCAAGCTCTGTATTTTTTTAAAAAAAATTTTTAATTACGAATTTCTATGGTACTTGTCTCTTTAAATTTGTTTGTGAAACAGTTTATTTTTAAACGCTTGTAAGAAGAATTTTTTTTTCCAAAACATAAAAGTGTAAAAATTACCTGCTATGTAAAAATAAACTGTTAAAACTTCTTTTCATAGCATAAACTGCTTTAAACTTTTTTCATTGCAATTGAAATCTCATTTCAACATTGTTTTTGTAAATCTGACTACTAAAAATGAAGACATTTTGATTGTGAAAAAATATTTTTTAAGAATGAATTGTTTTGCCCATTAATTTACTTGTCTTGCAAAACTTAGACATCTTTTTTTTCTCTTTTCAATTTTTTTTGTGGTATTTCAGGCGCTATAAGAAATCTGCCATAACTGAGGAATATAAGAATGTCATTCGAAAGCTGTTAATTGGTTATGTTGATTTTAAAAAGTTGAAATTTTCTCACTATCTTGTTTTTGATTTCACCAAGTGATTTTAAACATTTGTTTTTAATTATAAAACAAGCAAATAGAGCTAAATTAAAACCAAAACATTGCTGTTTTAATTGTTTGTTCTATTTCTTGATAATAGAATGAAAGTGTAAAAATTTTAAAGATTTTTATGTTTATTTTTAATGCAGCTAATATTATGAAGTTATAAGGCCTTTGATATCATATAATAGAAAATTATCTTCTATATTTATGTGAATTGCCTTAAAACCGGCATCTTGTAAGCATCTATAGGTTATTTACGAGTATTTATCAGCTTCCTTACCTCAGAAATATAATCAACAATCTGTAAAGTAGTATATATGTATGGACACGCAGACGTGCCAACTCTCCCGCATTTTGCGGGAGTCTCCCGAATTTTGAGTTATTCTCCCGCCCTCCGGAATTGATTTGAAAAACTCCCGAATTTTACTGCGATCGACGGCCAAACTCAAAATTACCTAATTTTTCCGCGAGTGCGAAAGTAAGTTTTTCTTTCAGCTTGAATCCATCCCCTCTTATCAAACTACCATCTGCCTGAAGCGTAGCTGAACATGCTTTATTTTCCCCCCTCTTCAACGTTACCTCTAAAAACACTCCTATTTCACCCGCCCCCTTACACTGGGGGCGGGTGAAATCTTCCTCTTCTTTCGTGTGGAGTTGAATGCAATGACGTCACATGTCGTTATCGAGTGACGTCCGTTCAGGAGTGGGGAAACTCGTACTCTCGATAGTTGGAATTGATATTGTATCTTGCTGTTTTTATAGTTTTTAATGCGTATTTTTCCACGGTTGGCAACAAGCTCGTAAACTAGCAACGTGATATCAATTATTCGTTTAGTCTTCGTATATTTAAAAAAAAAAAATTTCAAGGATGTCTTAAGTCGAAACGGANACCGGCATCTTGTATGCATCTATAGGTTATTTACGAGTATTTATCAGCTACCTTACCTCAGAAATATAATCAACAATCTGTAAAGTAGTATATATATATGGACACGGTATGCTGAGACAGAGGCACCTGCCAGGTGCTGTCTAATAGAATTCCAATAAATAAAAAATTATAGTTTGCTATTACTGTAATTTTTTCTATTTAAAAAAATTATAATTAATGCCTATTAAGTGTCATATTGAATCTACTCCAATTCATGAAATGAGTGCAAAAGTTGCATTTTTCAATTTCATTTAATTGTGGGGATAGTAGTTATCAACAAAGTCAACCTTCGTCTATAAAAAGGTACCCCAACATAGAGTCAAGTTAACACGTGTTATATACTAGGGAATTGGAAATGTATTTTTGTAGTGGTAGATACACTGCAGTATGTTTAACTAATATTTTTTATTAATTGGATGTAACAAAAATACTTAATATGTAAAATAAATTTGCAAATTTGCTTAGTAATGTTTGTCTTTTTATTCATCTTTACTAATTAAATTTTATTCACAATATTTTTTATTTATTTTAAGGCCTTAGAAAATTTTAATAAAATAGATAAAATATAATCTGTTTTTCAATTTTCAAATAATTCCCTGTGAAGTGTATTACTCAATTCAAAATGAGCCATAAATATCACAAATGAAAATATTAATTTCTGCTTTATTAATCAGTCCTTAAATTTATATATTTTGTTTTTAAATTGTAGATATTGTGTGATGAAAAAGGAAGAATTGCAGATATGGTTGATGGCTTGGAAGAAGAAAGTAAAAAGTCTTTGCAAATGGAGGCTGAACTTGAAAGACAATTGTGTGAGTTTGAAATTGAGCGTGAACAATATAAGGCTGAATTAAATGAATTAGAAGCAAAAAACAATGAACTAACTTTAGAAGTTCAAAAGTTACAGGAAGCTGTTGAGGCTTATCAGAAACAAGCTAGTCTTAATGCTCAGGCTCAGTTAGGAGAAGGTGTCAGAAGTACAATAGTCACCATGGTTTCAACTCCAACAATTCGTGCTGTACCAACTATATCTCCAACTGTTAGCCCTCCTCGGGGAGTGGCTCGAGCTCTTAGTCCTAAAACGGGACCAGCACCTGCTACACCAGCAAAGCCTATTGGTCTTATACCACAAGCTCCTACAAAAGTTGGTGTTTCCAAACCTGTATCATCCATGTCAAGCACTGTTTTGTCTCCTTTGTGCAGCCCCCCTTTAGCAACAGCTAGCTTTAAAACGTCTCCAAAGCCCATAAAAGCTAGCTCACCAGCTCCTGTAACTTCTCCATCTGCTCCAGAAAATATTGCAACTTTATTGCAAGTAGCTACTCCAGTACCTCAGTATGCAGAAAGCCCTCTATCTCCAGCTGAAACTGATAAAGCAATAGATCTGAATTCTCAATCTAATGCTAAAATCTCCAGTAGTGTTAAAGTATCTACACCTGTACCTGCACATAAACCTGCTTCAGCAACTGTCGCCAATGTAGTAAATGCTAAAAAATTGCCAGCAGGAAGGGGTGCTCCACCACCAATTCCTCCAAATAAACCAGTTTTACCCCCTCAAGCTCTCCACAGAAAAGATACTGGCTCAAAACCACCTGTTCCTCCAAGATCTGATGTCACTCCAGACAATTCTATAGACAAAAATGCTGCAAGAGTAAGTGCAATCTCTCGTTTTCTTACTCCCCAAAAATTCAATACTGATGAATCCCCTGGAGCAACTGATAAAGATGATACTCAGGTGGGTGTTTCTAAAGAAACTACCCAAGTAAATGTTGCTGGTAGTAGTAATTTAGAATCTGAAGTACTAGTTCAAGAATTAGCTGATTTTCAGCAAATTCTTGTTTCTTTGGCATCTACTAAACTAGCTAATTCAGTAAATAAATCTAATTAATTTTTATAGTGTAGCCCTTTGCTGTATCACATTTTTTTAGAAGTAAAATAGATGCTCCTTTTGATAAAGGTTGTTATAAAAGATAATAGAATAGCAGTAAATGACTGTATATTTGTTTCATAACTTTATTTATTTGTATATTGAGACAAATTTTTTACTTTCCGGATAACATTTGATCTTTAAGAACCAGTTTCTTCCTATATTAGTCAATGGTAGAGTAGTGCTTAAAGTACAAAATAGATTATACAGAATCATAATTATTGGCAGACTAATAAAAATAATATTAGAACATAGTTTGTGGTATCAGTTGATAGCTTTTTTTGGCAAACTTGATTGCCCTGTTTTCATTGTTCTTTATTTGGAAAATAGTGTGTTATATAAAGAACTACTAAAAAAATTCACCTGCCTCCAAATAACCTCCATAATTCTAATGCATGATGGAGGATTAATGTGAATAACAGTATGACATTAATCATTCATTAGATAATAGTTTATTTAAATTGCTCATGGTATGTATGAAATATTGTATGAGAAATAGACATGGATAAAGTGCCACATATTTGAGTGAGCATTAGAACAAGATGTGATTTTATGAAGAGTTAAATCATTCAAAAATAAGTTTATCTATTCATTTACTTAATATAAACTATTTCTTTTTACTAAGAAAAGAATCAATTTTACAATAGCTATGTTTTAAAAGTTGAAGAATTAGTTTTACTTTTTATATTTTGAAAGGAGAAAAAAGTCGATTATTCTGTTTTTAGTATTTGACATTATTTGACTACAGAACATGTTCTTTATTCACTTTAAAATAATTATTATAATTATTTTTAAAGATATAATAACTTTTCCTCATACTAAGTCATTTCAAACTTCAGTTCTAGATATTTGTGAAAAATATAAGCAATTGCCTTATTTTTTGCACCAAAAAAAATGATATAATGAGGCTGCAATTAAAGATATTTATTTTTAAAGTTGATAACCTTTTCATATTAACAGTTTACAACTAAACAAAACTGCTGAATTGTTAAAGATGTAAGAAATATATTTGTATCCTTATATCTTTTACAAAAGTTTTGCTTCAAAATTTCTATTTCCAGTATAAGCATTTTTCTCTAACTTAAAAAGAAATTTACAAACCATTTTTTTAAAAATTATTTTCTCTACCAGACATTTCTATTCAATCTAAATCTTAATTCTTCAGTCAGTATACATACATATGTAATGTTTGTATTTTTGTAAGTTTATTTCTTTTTGGAAGATTACTTTGTGTTTTTTTTTAAAATTTCTGTATAAGATTTAAAAAGTTTTTTGTCCCCAGAATTCTCACCCTCTGGGACATAAATTTTTTTTATTTTATTGTGTTGTTATACATTATACAATGTTGGATGCAGAAAAAGGCAGATGTTCTGTACACCAAAATATGGAAAAAGGTTTAAGTTCTAGTTTAAAAAAATGACCATAGATTGGCATTAAGCAATTAGATACCTATAATATTTTTATTTCGGGGCCTATGAGTGTGGTATCAAGCTTTAAAAATATGCTATTCATATTCAATATGTTGGCAGTGTCATTATAAATGTAATTTTGGATAAATATTTGAGCAATAATTTAGAATAAAAGGTCGGGTATAAGATAGATATTTTTTTGCTTCGCAATAATATCTAATTTTGTTTAAGATAGTATTGTTTATACCATACTTAAATTAAAGTAAAGAATTATATAATTACAAATTAAAGTTGTGGTGGGAAGGCATATGATTCATTTTTATCTGTTTCATTATTTGTTGAAACAAATTTTATTATGGCAAGGGTGATGTGTAAAACAGCCATCTCATTGCTTTGCATATTCGTTCATGCCAGAACTTAATATTTAATTTTATTTAACAATATATTGCTCATACTATATTTAAATCATTGTGAAGAATCATTTAAATGCAAATTATTTAAGCTATGGGGGGAGGGTATTTCATAATTCATTTTTATCTTTTCCATTATTAATCTCATGTTCCTATTATTGTTTTAATCATGAAGAAACACTTTTTCATATAAAGTTTATCTTTTACTTCATGGCAGCATAAAAACCTCTTGGCGGTGTAAAACTTAATTTTAAGAAAAACAAAGTGCTTCCTAGACTTTAAAGGACATTTTTTACTGAAAGATAAAGGCAGCTATAATGTGACAAATGTTAAATGAAAAATAATTTTAAAAAAAGTTTAAAAGTTTAGTAAAAATCTGAAGCATGTTACAAAAGTGTTTGTTAAATATATTTTGCATGAGAATCAATTTTAAGAAATTCATTTTGATTTGTTTTTATTTCTTAAATTTTATACCTTCTTATTCAATTGCATGAAAGATATTGTAAATGATTGAAACTGTTATTGAATCCTATGTTTTTACAATTATTTCAATTTTTTTCAATAGTTTGTTACAATCTGAATATTTGTGAAGTGAATTTACACATATGCATGTGCATGCTTGATTGCTAGCCTGGATGTATTTCATTTTTCTTGTTCAGATCTGCATGTAAAGTTTATTTTTATATAAAAAATACTACTATAAAATTTTAATTTGTTGGCATAGTATTGTAGATTTTATGTAATGGCTGAACAAATGTTTTATATGAAACTCTCATAATAAATGAAATTCAATGAAGTACTTTGCAAAAATCATTCCAAACTTTCTTTTATTTATTAATACTATATGATTATAATTTATATCTGACTGTGAAAAAAAATACTTTTCAGAATGACCTGAAACTTGACCCAAGCATTCATGAAGTAGAGTTATAGTAGTAGAGAAAATAGTTCAAGAAGAAAAAAATAGTTCAAAATTTTAGTGATAGACTCTATATAATAAGTAACCAGCATGATTTATAAAAGTATATTTGCTTTATAAAGCTATTAAAGATGAATTTTGAAAATGATAGCTATCAGTTGTCAGTTTCTAATAGCTTGGCTGCAAAGATTGCCTAATTTTATTTTTTTAATTTCTGACTGTAAAATCTGACTCTGGATACAAAAAGTATCGTTTTCAGTGTGCCAATTTCAAACTAGCTGAATTTAAAGCATCTATAATTTGTTTCTTTCATAATGTCAAGCCAGTATACTTTACTCTGTTGTGGAACACATTGTTTCATGGTTTGATTTGCAAAAAAAAAAAAGAAAGGTGAACAACAGGGTCGCAACTTTTTAAGGGTTTTTGCTGTTATAATTTATTGCAAATTTCATAATTATTTTTTTTAAACCATGTATAACTAGTGAAGTCTTACTGTCTCTAGAATTATCAACTATTTTTTTCTTAAACCATATTTTTTCCTCTTCATTCTTACTCAGGTCACATTTTATGTCATTCTGACAAGCATTTTATTTAAATCGCTCTTTAAAAATAAGATTTCAAACATTAGGCAATCTGTATAGTTATCTTCTTTTGGCTTATTTCAATATTCTGTAAGTTTCTGTTAGGCTGCATATAGTGCCACTTATTCTAAAAACTTTGCGTATAACATGGACAAAAAGTACAATTATGTATTATAGGAAAGATTTTAATTCAAGCATGTAATGTGTGCCGTTGTATTGTTTAAAAAAAATTTTAAGAAAAATATTTTGAAAACATCTTTTAGATATTTCAAAAGTAAATTTTTCTGAAGCAGCATGGTTTGCAATGTTTATAATGAGATGCTTTTAGACTTTTTTCTGACTTGTTTTCCCAACCTCCCAAAAGCCTGTTCATGTCAGTTTTTTAATGTATTTTACCTTTTGAAAAATTAATTAGTTATATTATGTATATAATATCATCTATAATTATATCATAGATAATTATACTAAACTGCTTTTATCGTATATTTTTTTTACATACCGAAAATTGTTCCTATATCCAAAAAAGATTATTTATTACTCGTACAAGATTATTACGAAGCCCCGGTGACTGAGTAGTAGCACTTTGCACTCACATACCACAGATCATAGGTTATATCCCTGGACTAGGCAACGTTGACTCATCCTTTCAGTGGGTCGATAAAATGAGTACCAAGCATGCTTGGGGACTAGACACTGGGGGTTCCGCATTTAGCTGACCACCGAGCCGCAACACCTGCTCCTGCACTGCAGAGTCGAAGATCAAGAAAACTGAGATGGGCACAGTAGACCTTGCCCTCTATGGGCTGTCACACCACTGAGTTTAGTTTAAAAAATTATTACATGGGCTTAAGTGGATACCAAAATATGTAAATTAATAAACTACCTCATTGGGTCGATTTTTAAAATGCATGCAAACATCAAATGTTAAAAAAAAAACTTCAAAATGAAAAAACATATGTTTATTCTAAAAAAGTGTTTTTTTGTGTCAGATTTTGTAGCTTAAAATATCGTCTACCTTTGCTTACATATTTGAGATCACCCCTGTGGATCATGAAGATTAAATCTTAATACGTGAAAATTCTATCATTAGATAAAAAGTTATTCAGGGTGTTCCTTTTTTTGCGCACTGTGTAGTGCTAAATAAAAAGGCGAACACCTGAATAATATTTGATCGAATCATCAGATTTTCGTGTACTAGGACTGAATTCTAACAGTTCGATGGGTTCATAAAAATTGGCTAATTAATTTAAGCAGATTATATTTAAATGTACAAAATCAGACACGAAAACATGTACTTTTTCTGAATAAACATATATATCTTTTTATGTTTTTCGATTCTTGGCCCTCAAAATATGTGGTAGGGTGTAGTCTCAATTTGGAAAATATTCTTTCAATTAGAATACTGTTAAACATGAATAAGGCACTAAAATGTTCATGCTACAGTTTAGATTCCATTAACAAGAGCTTGGTGAGCAGAATGTTCTTGTTTATAGTTTAATCACGTTGTTTACATTGTTCATCAAATGTATCCTTTTTTTTTAATTTGTATATTGTTTCAGGAGGTAAAGTTTCTAATTTCTCCCCCTCAATTTTTAAATTTTTATTTCTCAAGAACTATTTGACTGATTTCTTTCAAATTTTGGCTTTTGTCATTTAAAATTACGTAAATTAAGTTGGTGTAAAAATTTGTATGCCTAACCATTCGAAAACTGTTTCACTGTTAGTAAATTATAATATAAAAAACAATAAATTTTTACATGGAATAATCTTTGGGTATAAAGTTTTATAATTGTAAGCAACAATACATATTTTGATTCTTTTCATGAGCTCTGGAGATATGGCTAGCTTTCAAAAAGGATCTTAACGTTAAGAAGCTTAAATTTTAGGCCGCTTTCCTGCTATATTTCATTGGAACCTTATTTCCCTGTTTGGGACCTTTCTCACATTTCGAGTGTTAAGAATTTAAATCCGTCAGAAAAAAAGTGTATGTTTATTCAAGGAAAGTACGTTCTTGTGTCAAATTTAGTAACTTAAAATATCGTCTACACAAATTAATATGCATATTTTATATCTAACTACTAGGCATAAATATTACGTCTAGTAGTCACGCATCCTAATGGCCCTCGAACCATTAGGATTGAGTCCTAGTCCGTGAAAATCCGATCATTCAACATTGTAACAAACATTATTTAGATTTTCGAACTTTTTTTTTTGCTTTTTCACAAAGCTCTTTCGTTACGAGCGACTTATTTAGCCGGCATTTATGCGATTCCCTCAGGGCTTAAAGTCCATCCCAGATAGCAATATAAGGTTTTTTCAACACAACAAAAATCTTTTCATGTAAACCTAAAAAGGGTTTTTTACACGGTTTACGTGTAAACCTTCTAACCTTAAAACGAGGTCTGCGACAATCTCCTCTATTCTACGCACATTACCCTAATCCAAAACCTTGGAAAACAACCTTCAACAGAACAACCTTAAAACGAGGTTGTCTTGGGGTTTTCAAGCGGGAAAAAAACCCTTGAATAAAGCTAGTTCTAAGATGAAAATCATCTTAAATCTACATAATTATAAGGTTTCCGTTTGCAGCGTTTTCGTATGCTCAGCTAAAATCTACCCTGTCATAGGATTTTCATTGACAATGCAATTTAATGCTATTGCTAGTGTGCGTCAGCTAAAACGTCATTCTGAACGTGATGTCATCTCTCCCACGATTGTATGACGGCGCGTTTCATTATTTGTTTTATATTTTACTTCTTATAGCTTCCCTGTCCGAGGAAAATTCTCCTTTCCATCAATTTTGCTTGATTATTTTGTTGAAAATAGTCATTTTTTATCAGTCTGACTTACTTTGCTGTAGGAACTTAGTGATTTACAAGTTAAAATATCGTTTAATATGAAATTTTTTATTTTATTTAACGATTTGATTAATAAAAACACAAAATAAATAGAACATATGTAATACTCACCACGCGTATTTTTTTCTTTTTTATTCAGAAATTTATGCGGTGTGAGATATTTTGATGAGTGCAAAAGTATTCAGTTTTTTGTATATCAATGGAAAATTAACATGAAATATCTTTTTTTTGTTAAAATAAATAAAATGCAACTGATTAATTATCTCTTACTTAATATGTATGATATGAAATTTAATGATAACAAAATATTTTTTTTAAAAAAAATCGTTTAATGATGTAGAAATTCCAAATATATTTTTTAATGCACAACAACAAATAAATATCATGATTATCATAACAATGAGTATATGACAAGTGCATTTGTACAAATCAGATATGCCATAATTATATTAGGTATTTTGTTAACATATTAAAATATTATCTGTATAATAACCATTAGTGAATAATACAAAACAGATATACCATAATTAAATAAACTATTTCGTCAATACATAAACAAATGATATTATAGGCATAATAACCACCAGTGAATACGTAACATATTTAACATGAAGGAATTAGCGAAACAATCTTCATTCAAATAAGTGTATGACAGATATGCTCCTTTCTCTGAAAAATAAGAGGAAATTTTTGTGTGCGTACTTGCGTATATTGAATGAAATTTTATGCATATACATATGAATTTTGTATGTACATACATATTGTACGTACAGGAATACATGCCTACATTATATGTATACAGGTGCATGCACACGTATAAATAAAAATACATGAATACACACGCAGTATATAATTATATATCTGTGGTTACTTTAACTATCGTTGTATGAATAACATTGTTATTAGACAGTACATGCATATAGTACTTGCACACGTGAGTACATTGTATGTCATATGGACGTAGAATGAATAAATTACTTGTTGAAAACAAAAAGCAGACTACTCTGAAAATTTTTTGATCTAATGATCGGTTGTTTTTGTTGGTCTATGTCGTACTAACGATGAACAATGGGCTATTGGTGTAGAGTTGGGAAACATTCTTGAGGATGATCCGAAGACATGTCAAC